ATCATTGAAACTCCACTTGTGAGCATTTCACTTTTTAGGCAACTGGGGGTTTCTTTCTTTCTGAACGTTGCTCACAAACTTTTAGCTTGTTTTCTTCTACACAGTGGAGCTTACCTCAAACTCAGATTCTAAAAATATGCCCCCCCCCAAAAATAATAATGAAGTAAATAAAATACATGTCAGTTCCATTTTGGTGATTTCAACTCTACCCAGAACACCGGCTAAGCCTTTAATTGTGAACACCTTGCAGATTGTCTTTTCCTGGTCAATGAAACAAGGGCACTTAAGCAATGGCCAATTCACAGAGGTCTCTGGGGTCTGCTTCAACCCTATTCACTCAAATCCCAGGTCAACCTGATTCAGTCAGATTCAGTCAGGAAACAGGGATTTTGTTACATCCAGTGCAGAGGACTGGCCATGGGTCTGTGTGGACCTCAGCCCAAAACAGGTTAAGAACCCCAGGTATAGGACATTCGGCAGAAGCAAATCTTGAGCTAGCTGTTAGATGCATATTCACTGTCTGGAGCGAAAAATCTATCTCTCTATCTATTGACACAACATGCACATTGCCCCTTAGAAACAGAAGACATTGCCTGGTCCAGACTGAAATTACAAAGGATTAAATGAAATAACTATAATTAACATGTCATGCTCCTAACTCTCTGTTACAGTGGGGGGAAATGTTGTTGTCTACTTTTTCACACCTAGACTTCTATGGTCTATTTGTTGGACACATCTGTGATTTTTGAACCATTTTAAAGAAATCGAAACAAAACAATCATTTGCAATTCGGTAATAAATGCCAATCCTTTGACTCTTATTTTCTTTCTCTTATTTTTAATTACTTTTTGTCAGCAATGTATGCTAAATTAAGTAATTCATATCTGAGACTCACACAGTATAGAAACACTGGTAGTCCCTCTTGGGGAAAATAACATTTATGGTTCCTTTTTTTTCAACTTCCACCATTCTCAAGGTGCCTATACTTCTGGCACACAATAGTAGATACCTGTAAAGTAGTAGCTGAACAAATCTGCTGTGGAAGGCCATGTTGGCAGTTTGGATGGAGAGTACTGGGGAAGAGTAGGGAATAGTAATGACAAATATGTATTTGCTAGGCCTTTAGATGAACTAAGGTTATTTAAGGCTCTATGGCCCCAGACGCAACTGTTCACAAATATCAATTATATAATGAAGGTTTTTAAACTTTTTTTTAATTGGCATGGTATCCTTTTATGAAACCACATATTCTGTAGATCTAACAGCTATGACTTTATGAGTGTGATAAAGACTTCCAATCTAACATACTGCAAAGGGCTAATGAGATCTAGGAACATAGTGAAGTCTTTATATGGGGAAACAAGATGGAATGAACTTTGTCATTCAGATATCCATTGATATTCTCCTGCAAGATAAGGTCACCAGTTTTCAAAGTGCACAACCATGAAATGAAAGAAAATTAAAGGACCAATGAGGAAAATGATTCAGCTATGGAAGAACATCTCTAGTAAGGATATTAGGCAGGCTGCTGAGAATTCTACAATTTTCTTTTGACAAACGCTAGAGAATTATTTTTTCCATGTACATGATAGCAGAGATCTGATTAATAACGTATTACTAATCTTATCAAATAATTAAGTTAAAAATGAGTGTCATTCTTTTATGTTAAAATCTTAAGATTTATGGAGAGTAAAGTATTATTCAGTGCGCAAGAAATAGATCATTAAAAGGCAATTTGGATTGTGCCTGCAATCTTTGAAATCATAAAAAGCAAGACCTTAACAACGGAATAATTCTACGACTAATCAGAAAACCTCAGAAATATTAACATTTGAAATACCTTGCAGAATGTAAACTGACTTAAACTTTTAGCAGGAGCTTGTTTTCATACTTTAGTTTCAAAGAATCAATTTTAACTGAATTTTCAGCCTCATGATCTTAATGAGCTCTCTTGCGGTGCAGAAAGTTATTATTGTAAATAAAATCAAAATAATTAGAATATACGTTCTTTCCTTGTTCACAGAGGCTATCATACTGTCATGGAGCACCAGGGATTGGGGTGGCACAGGTAGGAAGAACTCAGTTGCAACATCACAAACCTGATGGCTGGGTGCGGGATCTGAAGTAGAAAAGAACACAGCTGATTAAAGAAAAAATAGGATTAGACTGAATTCATGTTTTAGGCCCATAACTGCAATATGTGATCTAAGAATATTGTAATAACAAAAAATATCCATATGAAACTGAATTCAAACTCAGAAATATTTTTATGAAACAATGCCATAACTTCAAGTGATGTTTCCAAGAGAAATAAATCTTTTTTAAAAAACAAAACAAAACCCAGAAAATGAACATTTTTCTTTTCTTTTGTATCACACAACACCACAGAAACAGAAAGTAATACAATTATTGAACAATTATTATTATTATTATTATTATTATTATTATTATTATTATTATTATTATATTTATACTCTGCCTTTTCCCCTGACAGAGACTCAAGGTGGCTTACAGATAAAAACAATTAAACATGTGTAGAATTAAAACTATATATTAAAAACATACAGATAATCACAAAAAAGATGGCATAGCACCAACCCCCTCATTAAAAGCAGTCAGTCCCCTAAAGCCTGTTGTCTTCACCTGCCAGTGGAAGGACAGCTAAGAAACTAGTCTAATTCTTTGAGGGAGGCAGCAGCCACTGAGGAGGCCCTCTCAATCTATGCTGTATAAATACCAAGGGACTGAAATAATATCGTGGTTATCTTTGCATGAGTATTTATGCTTTATTAATATGTGATAAACTAAATTAAAGCTAAGGATAAGACAATAGGCCATTACATTCCATGGACATTTTCATAATGGTCTCAGTGAAGAGCTCTCCATTCTGGTCTCTAGTTCTATATCAGTTCAACCATCCATTACCTGGTCTCATAAAGACTCTTAAGAAATTGGAATTAGTTCGCTATGCTTTCACTAGAACGCTGACTGGAACAGGTAAAAAAGGTAAAGGACCCCTGGATGGTCAAGTCCAGTCAAAGGCTATGGGTTGCGGCGCCCATCTCGCTTTACTGGCCAAGGGAGACGGTGTTTGTCCACAGACAGCTTTCCGAGTCATGTGGCCAGCATGACTAAACTGCTACTGGCACACGGAGGACTGTGATGAGTGCAAGACTGCACGGAAACACTGTTTACCTTCCCGTTTACCTATTTATCTACTTGTACTGGTGTGCTTTCGAACTGCTAGGTTGGCAAGAGCTGGGACCAAGCAACAGGAGCTCACCCCATCACAGGGATTCGAACCTCCGACCTTCCAATCAGCAAGCCCAAGAGGCTCAGTGGTTTAGAACATAGCCCCACCTGTGTCCTCACTTTTACCGCTGACTGGAATAACTCTTAGGGATCATGTAACACTGAATCTTGAAAATCTTGATTGCCTACATATTCATTTCCAGGTAGAAATGAATATGCTGATTCTGACCCATAAATCCATAAATGATTGAGGCCCAATATCTGGAGAAATACCCTTGCCTGTATCAACCTGTCTGGGTCTTTAGATCTGGAGAAGTGGGACCCTAGATAATTGTCACTTTAGCAAGGAATGTGCATCAGGTAGTGGCACAGGATTGGGTATTCTTGCAGGGTTGGTTTTTTTTTTTTTTGCTCCAGTTATGATATGCCCTTCCCCTGGAAGTATGACTGACACCAAACATGTCTGCCTGGACATTTGTGTACTGTTTACCTTGATTCAAGTTTACTGCTTTATGTGGAAAATTTTTCATTTTATATATATATAACCTGGTCTTTTTTGTTGGGCTGCTGTTTTAAACGATGTTGTAACCTGCCCTGGATCATTTGGTGAAGGGCAGGTTAAAATAGTCTTAATTGATGAAAAATAATGCACCTCTGCAACTTGGGAAACCTGGGATACACAAATCTGTCAATTTAGTTTCTCCCATTTTGATTTATCAGAATTTTGGTGTATATACACTTTTTGTAAAGCTATTCCCCTTAATATAATGCATCTTTGTACATAATTTTCAGTGACATACCGTATTTTCCCATCTGTAAGACATGCCCTATTTTGGGGGACTCTAAGAAAATGTGGGAGATGTATCCGTGTAGAAGACGCCCCCAAATTTTTGACATAGCGTGTTCTCCCTAACAGAGAGCACGTGTTGTGGTTGGGGGAACAAGCCACCCTGCCGTTACTGGGCAGATTTGGTGAGGAACCCAAGCCTTTAAGTGGTTAAAATTGGGTTGCTGGGGAGTTTTGATTGTTGCCAATTTGGAGGAGGGGTCAGAGTCTTTAAATACAGGGGCCAGACGTTGGACGTCCTCTTGGCCGTTTTGCACCAGATCACCCGCCCTCCCTCCCTTTAATAGGATGGTTTTTTCTTGATCGCTTGACCTTGCTATGCCTGTCATGGGGTCTTTCGCCTTGGAGCGGGGACCTGGTAGGAATTTTGCCATCTGGCTGATTGGCTGGTGCCATTTGGTTTTTGCCTACTGCGTAGCAAATCGTCACAACTTGTAAGGTTGGCGGTTAGGCATTGGTTAAATTGGTGCTTGGAGGGGTAAGTGCCTACCCCTCCAAATGATGCAGAAAGGGAATTCCGTTAAAGGAATCCAGGGGCTTGCCATTCTTTTCGTCCCTGTCCCTGGCATCGGACTTGGGCCGTGCAAGCCCCACAGGAACATGAGGGTGAGAAGTGAGGGACTGATGCCCAGCTCCATTTTCTCACCCAATACTTGTTTCCCACGCTGGCTTCCGTTGGTGTCCGGAAGTCAGTTCTGTCCCTGGGGCAAGGACAGATAGTCATAACCAATGCCTAAGCAACCACTCAAATTTTTTGTATTTTGAATAAAGTTGTGGCCAAAATTATGCCAACAACCTTAAACAAAAATTGATGTGTGAAGTGTGAATTTTTTGGGGGGTGGCATTGTGGGACTCAACACGCAATATTTCTTAGGGGGAAACTTAGTCTTATACACGGAAAAATACGGTATGTCTTTTATGCAAACCTTCCCCTTGATACAGTATATACATCTTGCACACATTATATATTTAGAGAACTGCATTGCAACAATCAGAGAAGTGCAAAGAGAAATGTTTTGATTTGTGTATTGGTTTGAGAAATGCTAATTAAGTTGTTTCTCATTAAAATGCAAAGTCAAATTTCTCCCCAAGCCCACCTGCAATTCAGGATTTCATTTTGATGATGAATTCTGATGAAGTGGACTTTAGCCCATGAAAGCTTATGTCATAATAAATTGCTTAATCATGAAAATCCCATCTTCAGTCTGTCAGCATACTCTCCAGGGTTCTGCTGTGGGATTGGGGAAAATCGCTAAGTCACAATATTTAAAGTCAGATATTATACAACACAATATAAAGAGAGGAAAGTCTGAATATTGAGAAACCGTAAGGGAGATCTGCTTCAAGAAGCAGGCACTATCCTTTCTTTCCACAGGGGTTTTCAAAACTGAACAGATGGCTGTTCTTGGATATGTATAGCTCAGAGACTGCTGTGAAAATAATAAGAAACCTGTATGCTTAATGGGCTGTTAGTTAACAGAGGTGTAAGCAAAGAACATACTAGACAGGTATAATGTCAAGAAGAGGATTGTATATCAACGATATTGTTCCTCTTAGCAACTTGTGCTATTAAATTTTTACTGTATTTCCATTTTATGTTTAGCAATATTTCACCACATCATGCCACTAAGCTGGAATTCCAGCTATACCTTTCTGCAACAGCTTGTCCTTAAAACATGTTGAAGGTGCCGCAAGATGCACAAGTTTCTGGTTCCTGGATTGACAAAGGGAGCCTACAAAGGTCTATGACAGCATTTGTCTTTGCACCTCTAGTGCAAGACTAAAAAGGTTTGATGCACTGTGTCCTATTATGTCTGCTTCTGTCAACATGTCGCATCCTGAAGATCACAGTAATATGATGTGAAGTGAGCTGTGACACATCAGTGACACTTAAAAATGCTTTCGCACTCAATAATTGTCAGAGATGAAGTGGAAGAGTTGCCTTTCCTAGTTTTCTCCTGTCAAGCTTTTGCTACTTGACTAATGATATGTAATGTAATGTTAAATACAGGGAATAATGTATATAATAGAGTAGCAATTAAGAAGCCATAGTAAGGAGCCTGCTGAATGGGAAATGGAGAAACAGCTACATAAAACGGGAGGGAAATGCTCAAAATAGATGATGTTCCACAGGAAGGGGAGAAACAACAAGAATGTCCTGAAGTTTTATATCTAGCTAGCTGAAAAGCCAGTGGCTTCCAAGTACGGTTTGCAGCATATTCTGATTTCTCTCTGTTTCTCATTTTTCTGGTCTTAATTACAGATCTCCACATTTCCACATCAGCTCCTCCCTGTGTGTGTGTTTTTAAAGTCCTTATTAATAGCATTTTAGTGCATTCCCCCCCCCCCAATATACATGTTTGTATGCTGTCTTGCTCAATATACATGTTTTTCCAAGGCTATTTTCCCTAATACACTGTATTTTTGTATGGTATCTTCACTAATATGTGTATTTTTATGCACACTTTGTCCCAGTATATGCATTTTCATATGGATTACTTGCCTGGATAACTGTACTGCAAATATTGAAGGATGGTTGTGTTTCATTGTTTGTATTGTTTCAGAAAGTGAAACTGGGTAGGTTTGCCTTTCAAGGCAAACTGAATCAAATTTCTCCCTTTTGCTGCATTTTACTTTCTTTTCTTCAATTTGATATTGTCAAATAATTTGAGATCTCCTTAACTTTTGGGTGATTATATGCTAAATCACCATTCATGTGTGCCACGTAGCTCTCTGCTTTCAAAGAATTTCAAACAGGAAATCCTTCTTGAATTTTTACTACATTTGCATCACAGATAGTTAAGGTAACATACATTAGTTAAGGTAACAGACCCTAATAATTTAATTTATTTAATGAAGGTTTATTAAATAGGTTGTCTGGAAACCACCAGAATACTGGCCAGAAACCACATGTAATACTGGCATCTGCAACGTAAAAGGTACAGCCAAAGGACCCCTGGATGGCTAAATCCAGTCAAAGACAACTATGGGGTGTGGCACTCATTTTGCTTTCATGACGAGGGAGCTGGCATTTGTCTGCAGACAGCTTTCTAGGTCATGTGGTCAGCATGACTAAACTGCTTCTGGCACAACGGAACACAGTGACAGAAACCAGAGCACACGGAAATGCTGTTCCCACCTTCCCACCGTAGTGGTACCTATTTATCTACTTGCACTGGCATGCTTTTGAACTGCTAGGTTGGCAGGAGCTGGGACAGAGCAATAGGAGCTCACCCGGTTGTGGGGATTCAAACTGCCAACCTTCTGATCAGCAAGCCTAAGAGGCTCAGTGGTTTAGGCCACAGCGCCACCTGCGTCCTATACTGGCATTTGCAAGACAATGCTGATTGCGTAGTAGATGCCGTCATTCAATCACTGCAGCAAAGAGGGAAATGTCTAGATTTTCTAGACCCTTTCCAATCCAATGTCTGCTTTGCCTTGCTGGTAACCATAGTCACATGCCTAAAGTAGGTGGGACCAAAGTGGAAAATTGCATATGTTCAAAGCCCCAAAGTGGGAGGGGTTGAAGTTGTGGCTGCTTACCCTTATTTATGAAGCATTTGTGCTGATTTCTTCTTCTTCCCCTTTATTCTCAAGGTATTTGTCTTATTTATTTCTACACAGAGCCAAGATGTCCCTCCATCACAGTGAAAGGGGGTTATGAAAGCTGGGCAAGGGACTGCTGGGCTATTATTGTCAGGTGAAAATAGAGATTGCAGCAAGCGATGAAAAGTACCGTTCTTAAGGAATATAATGCGAGAGCACTTGACCTGCAGAGTCTCAACTGAAATAAACCCAGCTTATCCTCGATCAGTAATTTCCCCTATGCTTCCTCTAGTGGTAGCATTTCACCTCTTACATATGGTGCAACAATATGCCCCCAGCATTATTTTATATGTGCTATGTTTCATTTATGTTTGCCATGTCTTTTATTTAAGGACACTTGTAAAAATATTTTTTTATATAAAGATGGCAGGAGTCATCATTCATCTTTGTTATACGGACAGGTTACCACTTACTTGGCAGCACCTACATGATTTATTGGGGAAAGGTTCTCGATGCCTGCGGCAGCAGTTTCCAGAACTTGTTTGAAGTGAAAGTGATCTCTTGCTTGTGACAGCCATGCATGCTGCTTGGATTTTTTTTTAAAAAAATAACCAAAATAAAAACAAATATTCCCTGATTTAACACGAGGAGCAAAGACCTCCATTTCTTCTTGGTGAAATCACTACCTCTACAAACAAAATGAGAAACATAAATCCAGTGTTATTGAAAACAAATTCTGTGATTTGATTTAAAATGTGCTTAAGGCTCTTTTCTTTTCAAGGGGCAGATCTGTGGATTGAATTATTCCTCTATTTCATTTTATTTTCACCTGCTCTTTTTCTACATGTATTTGCCAATTTGTTGTGTGTTTTTACATCTTTATCCGTTCTGTGCCACTGTTGATGAATTATGTATTGATGGATATTTGAGGTAGCAGGGTGACATTCATCAGCATATGAAATACTGTATGCTAAACATTTATTTTGATATTGTGCATAATTTTAGTTGACTGAAACATACTCTTACGTGGATACCTATTTCTTTCTCTTTTTTGTTATGATTTAGAATATGTTTTATGAATCACAGAACTGGAAAAGACACTGGCCTTAATCTTGAAGAGCAGCGGGGAAGATTTTTTTTGTATTAATAAAAATGTACAAGCACACACCATGAGCACGCCTACACACAGCGTGGGCTGGAGCAGCATTCGTTCCATGGAAATCAGAAGTAAGATGTGACTGCTTGCCCATTCCCCGCATGACACAAGTCCTCCCTTGAGTTTTTCATGTAAATCAGATAAGTTAGAAAGGGGATGTTGTTGGTGGGGAGAAAGATTCTGCCCCTCCCAGGGGACCTTGCAGTGCACCCTAGGAATTCCAGACACTCTGAAGCAGCAAATATACCCCTCAGTGCTTTTGAGTCCTTACAAAGCATGGCAAAAGTGAACAAATGGCTTTGAAAGTGCTTACAAATGGCAGGATTTCAGGGACTACTAGCTGTCTGCAAATCCCAGAGCAAGGTGAGAGAATCGCCCAAACATTTCCCCAAGCCCTCCAGACCTTGGGGAATGTAGTGGGCATTTCAGGCTGCAATCCTACACCCACTTCCCTGGGAGTAAGCCCTACTAAGCTTAATGGGGCTCCTTTCTGAGAATATATGCATAGGATTGTGCTGACTTTCATTTCATGTTGAGCTTAGCAGGTAGTTTGAAGCAGCCAGATCCTTGCCACTTCTGTGTGAAAGCTGAGCCTTCTCCTCCATCTCTCTTTAACTGTACAGAGATGGAAGGAAGGAAAGGAGGAATCGTAGAGAACCACAAACCACATCCAGAAGCAGCTGGTGGAGTGGGGTGGAGCAGCTGTGCTACTTTCCTGGCAGGTGGGATGCTGTTGCTAACTTGGGCGGTGGAAGTGGGAGTCGGTGGCGAGGTGCACAGTGCCAAGTGCTCTGCCACCTTGCCCCTTCCGCTCTTGATAGGAAAGAGCGACCTACCTGCTGGAAGGCAGCCTAGATGGCAACCCCCATCCTTGAGATGTCTTGACGATTGTCTACAATGAACTATGCATCTGCATCTGTAATGAGACAAGAACATAATTGGTAAAAGATAATGTAAACCATTTGGTACTGTTTGGGTGCTTATTAATTTCATTGTTGCTTTTCTATATAAAAACACATTTAAAGAAACACCTCTGCCATCCCTTATTACGAATACAGTAATAACAGCCTGCTGTCAAACATTTTTGCATGACACCTCTGAATTCTTCAGAAACCTGCTCCCAACTTCTCAAAGGGCAAATGGCCCCACAAAACTGAGGAGCCAGACTCAGACCAGCACTAATTTCACAGTTGTTGTTGTTTAGTCATTTAGTCGTGTCCGACTCTTTGTAACCCCATGGACCAGAGCACGCCAGGCACTCCTGTCTTCCACTGCCTCCCGCAGTTTGGTCAGACTCATGTTGGTTTCTTGGAGAACACTGTCCAACCATTTCATCCTCTGTCGTCCCCTTCTTCTTGTGCCCTCAATCTTTCCCAACATCAGGGTCTTTTCCAGGGAGTCTTCTCTTCTCATGAGGTGGCCAAAGTATTGGAGCCTCAGCTTCACGATCTGTCCTTCCCGTAGACTTTACGGCACTCAGGGCTGATTTCCTTAAGAATGGATACGTTTGATCTTCTTGCAGTCTACGGGACTCTCAAGAGTCTCCTCCAGCACCATAATTCAAAAGCATCAATTCTTCGGCGAGAATTTCACAGATATCCCAATAAAACAGTATGTTGGAATCAATAGAGGGCTGCACTTAGATGATGGAAACCTGTCTTCAGTTTCGTACATGGTACCTGTAGCACCACCATCACAACCAGGTATAGATGGATCTCTATATTTCCAGTAGTGGATTTCCAGTCTGTATCACTTTTGCGTGTGCTTATTCCATTCCACTCAGTATCCACAATAATCTGAAATCGCAGTTTGAAGACTGAAAGGAATAAAATAATCTTTGGAATCTCAGTGGTTTCAAGGGTGAAATGCTAAGTCAGGGTTTCTTGCCTTTCTAGCTTTGTTCAGTATGTCCAAGAGAGGCCAGTAAACTGAAAGTAACCACTAGGTACGTAGTGACTGCCTGTCATTTCTCTCCTTCCTCATTGCTTCTTCTCTTCCTACTTTACTTATGTCATTGTATAATCCAAGAGTCCCCAGCTTTTCTTAGGCCTGGGGACTAAAAATAGCAATTTCACAGAAGAAAAACTGATGACACGCCAAATCTGCCCTCCAAATAACAGGCTAAACTTTTGCACCCTGCCCCTCCCAACAAACACACACACAAAAAACAAAGAGCTTTTTCTTTTTAAAAATAGGAGGAACAATATAGCCCTCTACATACTAATAACTGATATTGATATATATTGATATATATAGATATATAGATATAATATGATACATAACACAGGTTTTAGGGAGCAACTTTATTGCTGGTTATTCAAACTGAATTGGGTGAACATTAGCTTTATTTTGTCACAATACATAAGTCCAGTGTTTGTTTTTTTCTTTAAAAAATGTTGAGGGGTACTCTCATTTCCCTACTCTTATTAAAATACTGCCCCTCAATGAGGCCAAACTTAGATTCACAAAATGTTTAGGGGTATGCGTCCCCCCAGAAAAAAGCACTGCATAAGACTACCATTATCTTCAGGCCTGCATGCATTTTACACTTGTCACAGAGATAATGGAAATAATGAAAGTGACTGATGTCACCCTGTTCTAATTTACACTCAATGAGGATCCATTGTCATCCTAGGGCTTTGAAGCAGTTGACTGTTGTCCTTTTGTACTATTGTTTTATGTACACAAAGGCAAGTTCTCACAAGCAGCTTAAAAGAATATGGAATCCAACAATAAGAACCAGATTCTAAAATGCTTCTTCACACTGAGTGGCTGAATTCCTAGTCAGGTATTCCAAATATTGGCTTTGTATGTGTTTTCACTAGTGGTGAATTTCCTGTTTAGAGTGGATTCCCTCCATGTCCTAACAAGTGCTTTGCTGCACATGCCATCTGTATAAAATGGTGGGTATTCTTGTGTCAATTTTAAGTGTCATGGTGATTTTCTTTGGGGCTACTAGATTATCATTTCGGCTTTCACTACTGCCATTCCCCTTTCCTTGAGCTGTAGCTAAGGTTATTGTAGAAGCTGAATTACTGTTTACTTTTTGCATACAATTCATTTTATGCCAGGAATGTCCAAACACTTTCCCCTTAGACTCTTGTGTGATGAATGGTTGCTGTTAAAAAGCTAGGAGGAACACAGCCAGCGAAACACATTCAAACCTAACTGGCAACTTAGATTGCTCCCTTCCCACTGCTATCACCACGGTTTGCTGCTAGTTTGTGGCAAGCAGTAGCTCAGTAACTTTCTCTTTTACAAGTTTTGGTTTTCAGCCCTCCTCCCTCTCATCCCTATGGAGATCCCCTCAAACTCCTCAGCACGTTGACATTAAAGCTTAGTTATTACACAGCTAACTTTCTTATGGAAAACCACAGTGTTCCCTTGGTCAAAACCTAACCGTTTCTCCCAGACCCTTGAATTCTCCCACCTCCCTGCTCAAGCGAAAGACCTACCTTTTAACATCCAAATGCCTCCTTCTTACCTGGACTTCTAATGCGATTCACCTGATCCGTCTTCCTCGCAGCCGGCTCCAATTAGCCCTGTGAACTCTCGCAGTCTGCTCGAGTCCTCCCTGAGCAGAAACCCTCGCTCACCCAAACAAACAAACCACAGTCCTACAGCACAAACACAGACTTCATAAAAAACCATCACCTTTCCACCCAAAGTACAATCCCTAGCACAGTTTGACAGCCAGCAAACATCTGGCTTGCCTTTTCGAAATATAGAAGGAATCGGCTCCTTTAAGGAGCAGCTCCTTAAGAATGACAACTTTAGAGCGGCTGCAAGCTGTGCCTTTTCGTCCCAGAAAACCAAAGAAATGAAGCCTGCCTTTAACAAAGCTGAGTAAAGAAGAAGAAGAATGGGGGGGGGGTAGTGATTGCAGACTGTCTGGGACCTACAAAGAGATGCTGGGAATGTAACGCAGCAGTAGGGAAAGACTGCTTCCTATGCTATCAACTATGTTCAAATATGCTAGGAGTCTCTGTTTTTATAGCCTCTGTCCTGCCTGCTCAATTTACCTGAAACAAACGAGATGTTTCTTGGTGGTGTTTTTCTTGCTTTAGTTTCCATTAGAAAACAAAAAACTTTAGCGTTGCAGTGAAATGATGAAAATAGCAATAACACAATAGTCCTCTTCTGGCACCGAAATATGAATTCAGAAAACATGTGAAGGGTTTGTGTACGTCTGTGGTGCAAAGATAAGTGAACTAGCTATATCTGTCCCTATCACTGTTTGGATTATCCTTTGTGACTTGGAAAGTGAATGTATGAAGCAGGGAGCCACACCTGTACTCTTGGAGGATTCCTACACATTTTAGGAGACAAGAAAATTATTCAGGAATGTTAAAGTTTGGGGGTTTTTTTAAGCCCACCAATAAGTAAATTGTGGGGCAGGCACATTAAGTTGCCCCAAAAACAAGGGTTGGTTAACAGTAAAACAAAAAAGGTGTGTGTGGGTTAAGACAGGCCACAGCTTTTATGGATTACAGCAATATAAGTGGGGGCGCCATGGCATTGTGGCAACCCAGAAAATTGTCTGTAGGAATCCGCACTGAGTTTGGCACAGATACCTCAAGAGGTGGACAAATCTATGCCAAAAATTGGTTCCCTATCTTGACTGAGAATGGCAGTCAACATCCAAACATTGACAAGGATCACCACACTCACCCCAAGAACACTCATGCCAAGTTTGGCAATGATATATTGAGAGATGGCCAAACAAATGGACAAATCATTTCCCAAAATGTATAGTTGATAAAGTGACTTTTAATGTGCATACATTTTCAAACTGCAGATTTTTTTTACTGTGGCTTCTTCTGTAAGTGAGAATAACAAAAAGTATATTTATAGGCAAGATATTTATAGGTCTGTGTAATTCTAAGCTATTTTGTTAAATCTGACCCCCAGCATCTGCACTGTTAAAACAAATGTTCACTAAAAGAGAAAATGCATAAAATTAAATTTGTTAGTGCACCCATAGCATATGATAGAACCAGAAACCAGATTTTTTTTTGTAGGGCTGGCAACTTCTGAAATGCATTTTTATTAGAAATTATCAGGGGATAACATTGATCTTAATATGTGAAAAGGATCATGAGCTAATTTTAACAAATCAAACTTATGGTTAAAAGTACAAAATTAGAACAACCTACACCCCACACTCCTGCTAATCTATCACAAATATGCCACTTCCCCCCTAAGATTTGGCTTCAATTGACAGGGCCTTTTCAGTGGTGATTCCCCGTTTGTGGAATGCCCTCCCTGATGAGGTACATCCTTCTCCTCAATATTTATATTTTAGGACAAAATTTAAAACATTCTTGTTCACCCAGGCAGTCAACAGTCAAAAATACTGTTCCTGGCTCTCCTGGATAACATTTTTAAACTGTTTTGTGGAATATTTTTAAATGTTTTATATTATTGGTACATTTGCTGCCCTGGGGAGTATGGGGTGTTAGGGGAGAGGTAGTACCTCTAGTTGAGGACATGTTGTGCTCCTTCTGAGGTAGTTTGTCCACCTTTTGTCCACACTCAACCTTCGGTTCTCATTTGTGGCTCCTAGAAGCTGTGTGGCAGAGCCACACCCTGGGAAACATCTTTGACTGGCCAGCTAAACTAGGTGAGGGTAGCTGATGGGTCTCACACACTCGGTGAATTAGAGATCTCTCCTGCCTGTGAAGACAGGCTTAGCAGATTTAACAGTTGAGACCAATAGCGGGTACAACGGTCAAGAATGCGGTTTCCGCATGTGCTGTAGTGTAGGGAAGAAGGGACTCGTCAACTTGGGATGGTAGCCCATCTAAGAGTAGGAAAACTTTGATCCCAAACCTGCACTGCCTTACAAGATACCTTGGGGGGAAGAAAAGGCTAAGAAGTAAACCTACACAGATTCAGAGTGAAGTCCTTAAGATGGTTGGATAGTGCCGCGTACGCCTCCTTCCAGCACCTCCTGCAGCCAAGCTGGTGCCAAACGTATTTTTCTGCTTTCCTTTGAACCACATCACTGAGATCGAGAAAAGGGTCTTGTCGTCTGGACAGCCCAGGACCTCCATACTCTCTTCCCAGGCTTGCGCCCCAGGGAAGTCACATTAGTGCTGCTAACACAGCTGTTTAAATTTATCCCTGGAGGTGCACTCCATTGTCTCTTGAAACAAATGGCTGCCAACAATAAGCCCTGGGCTCCTTCAGGTGGAATTGAATAAACAATTGTGTAAACACATGAGCATCTCACACTTCTCTTGACATACAGAAACCTCTTCTTAAAATAGGCATGTTGTTGAGATCAAGTCTTTATTTTTCACGTTTTGCCTTTGGATAACACACACACAGCACATTTACTCAAAAGCAAATTCTAGCATACTCAGTGGAGCCTATTCTGAGGTCAAGGTGCATAGCACAGCAGCCTTGGTCATGGTACAACCCCTATTCAGGCCAATCATATTCATTTTCCTGGACCTAATGGACCACAAAAATGGGTAAACACAGGTCTTATAGAGCCAGGGCGCTGCCCAGAAGCAGCTTACCAGATGGGGTGGAGCTGATACACTAGTTTCCCAGCAGGTGGGACACTACACATTGCACTATGCTTCCTGATGGATCGCCTCCCTCCCACCCTTCACAGTAAACAACAGTGACCCACCAGTCAGGAAGCTAACCTTTGCATCCCATTTGGCAAACTGTATTTTAATATCGTCTCTGTGAATTGCCCCATGTCATTTTCTGGTTCCATGAAGGGGAGTGGGTGGGTTGAATTACTGATTCCTTCCTCTTATTATTATCATTGTAGAACTACAGCACTTCTTAAAGAGGGCAAAGTAGAGACGCAATGGTCCAAGGTGATGTGATACATCTGATTGGACCAGGACCAACTCTAGACATTTTGCCACCTGAGGCAGACCACAAAACAGCACCATCTCCCTCCCCACCAGGGAAAAGGGGGTCAGGGAAGATCTGCACCAGGAACAAGTGCAGAGAAGTGCAGGGAAGTTGACATGGGAATCAGCTGCTCAGTTGACCCTACTGGCCGAGGTTGCTGGCTCTCCTTGCCTCACTGATGGACCAGCCTTCGTATGGACAGTGGAGAACAAGATGCTTGACTACAGAGAAATTTGATCCGATCCAGAAGGTCTTTTATGTTCTTGTTCAAATGAGACAACCAACCAGACACTGCTCCAGGGCGCTTGCTGCCTGTGGGCTGGTTAATACATGCTTTTCATCATGAAAAATGGGTGCTTGGTTGTGAAGGAATGAAATTTCATCTTTTAAAAATCCAGCTATTTGCCAGTAATCCTCCTTTCTTAACCTAAAGGACACCTGGCTAATATAAGCCTGTATTTACATTCCCTGTTACACATCTCTACAAATTGACTTATTCCCCATCCCTGTTTGCAAAAGTGTGACAAAACATGGATATGGCTGATCTTAATTCTCAAATGCCTGATGACTCTGCATGCCTGATTACCTGAAGAAAAATCCTATTTGTTTTAAATTCCTACAGATCCCTTTTAAATGGCTTGTCAGAGGCACAGGTACCAAACATCACATTGTAAATTGTGATGTTCTCTCTCTCCACTTTGTTCTAACTATTCCCTTTATTTCTGATGATTGCGTGTGAATGCCTATGCCTATGTACCACCTATGTACACAAAGAAGGTATCAATGAAAGGCTTGGCAGATTTTGCAGAAGTACAAAAATCTGGTGAGGAATGGCCCCCTCCCCAACAAACAGCCCAATGAGGACTTATTGGCTTTTGGGGAGGCAGAAATATAAAAACTTGCACAATGAACACTAAACAACAACATCCCATTTTGTTACATGTCATCCTTCCAAGGTAACTAATCATCTAACTAAGGAGATATAAAGGTAAAGGGACCCCTGACCATTAGGTCCAGTCATGGCCAACTCTGGGGTTGCGGCGCTCATCTCCCTTTATTGGCTGAGGGAGCCAGCGTTCAGCTTCCGGGTCATGTGGCCAGCATGACTAAGCCGCGTCTGGCGAACCAGAGCAGCGCACGGAAACACCGTTTACCTTCCCGCCAGAGAGGTACCTATTTATCTACTTGCACTTTGACGTGCTTTCAAACTGCTAGGTTGGCAGGAGCAGGGACCAAGCAACGGTAGCTCACCCCGTCGCGGGGATTCGAACCACTGACATTCTGATCAGCAAGTCCTAGGCTCTGTGGTTTAACCCACAGCGCCACCCACATCCCAAGGAGATATAGTATGAGATAATTTTTCCATTTTAAAAATACCCCATGCTTTATATTAGAATAAAGAAATAATGTTGCCAGAGACCACCAACTTGCTTCCATTTGATGTGTAGATGAGAAAAACTCTCTTCCTTCCATAGATCCTCGTATGCAGAAAACTGCGTTTTTTGATAGTGGCTGTTATGTTTAGAGTAAAGGGTAAGATAAGGTAAAGAACTGCTGGACAGTTAAGTCCAGTCAAAGGCGACTGAGGGTGCCGTGCTCATCTCACTTCAGGCAGAGGTTTATAAACACAAACAGATATATCCATCTATATCCATTGCTTCAGTGCAACATGCTAAAGAATTCAAATATCTTTTCACACACATTTTCATAATATTATTTTTTGTGGAAAGGCTTTAGTGTACCCAGGAGAAATAAAAAGGGGAGTTCTGAACTGAAAAGCAAACCTGTTTTAAAATTCATGTGGTGAATAGTAAGAATAAACTCTGAAGCAATTTAAAAATTCAAAACACATTCAGCATTACTTGACATTTACAAAGGGACTGTATAAACCACATATAATGCCAATATTCTAGCTTG